ATCAACCACAAATCAAAAGAGTAGTTCAATCGATGAACACTATTAAAGACTATACACTGACTTAAAAGAAAAATGAAAGGCATTAGTTATGAAGAACTTGAAACTTTTTTTTGGTCTTTGGTTTGCCTTGATTGAGCTAAATAATGTTTGCTATAAATGAAATTGAACATGTGCAGTTAATTTAACGCAAGTGACATTGCACAGACAAGAAAAGTTTGATCTTTGATGAGGTTAGCCTTCACTTATGGTCCATTACGTCAAAGCCGACCATGCAAATTAATTGATCTATGATTAAATAAAATTAAAAACAAAAAGTCTGATCATCAACAGGAACTCCATTTCCAGTCATGTGCATTTAAGATTTTTTTACTCATTTCACCTGTAAACTTCGGAATTTTCAATTCCATTGTTACCAACCAATCATTACAATAACAATTTGACTTTGGCACCGACAATGAAAATTTTACATATTGCATCTAAAAAATTTCATTTATGTGTTTCACACAATAGTAATAGCCAAGTCAAATCATTTTAAGTCTCTAAGGCGTAAAACGCGCATAGATTAATATTGGATTTAATTATTGATTAAATAAGAATTAATTTCTAATAATTGACTCAAATCTTTGAAGAAATAACATAATATAGTTTGACAAATACAAAAGGAAATTTAAATTAATTAAAAGCTTTGAGAACTTTGATCCTTAATATGTACCTTCCACAATGAATCTGGTTAAAGTGTTAAATTTAATTAATATTAAATATATTCGTATATATATTTATAAAATTAAACTATTAAAAATTGATTATTAAAATATAGTTAGTGCCCATCTTTCTTCTTCTTTTCACTACTAAATCTGTTCACATTCCATGTAATAAATTTCATTAAGACTTGTTAGTTAGATCATAAGTTATTATGTTTGGATTGAGGGGAAGGGAAGGAAAGGAAAAAAATATAAAGGAATGCAATAGAAACAAAAAATTATTTCTTTTGCTTAAATAAAATTTTAATTTAATATTATATTTGGATAAATATTAATAAAAAAATTAAATTAAATTAAATGAAAGAAAAAAAAGTTTTTTAAAGAAAAGAAATGATACATGTACCCTTATTGAATAAATAAAATTAATAAAAGAAAGAAAAAAATTTTAACAACTATTATTTAGATAAATAGTAAAAAGGAAAGGAAATAATTTATTATAATATTTTGTTCAATTATAATCTTTTTTTAATAAAGTAGCATATAATATACAAATATATATTTATACTACCTAACTTGTATAATCAAATATTTATGAATAAAATTGAGCATATTTAATACGATAAAATGTATTAACTAATTATTGGTTTACTCTTAATGTTGTGTTTAATTCAATCTTTTAATTATTTTGATAATAATTTGAACTTGTT